AAGCTTTTAAATGGAACTAAAACAAAACAGAGAAAGGAAGCTTGCTACAGAAAAGTGCGTTTGAGACTGTGACAGAGATTAATAGAGAAGTGTGAAAGAGATTGATGGGCTGTGATGGTGAATATATGAGGGTCATAGATCCACACATTGCCTGAGCATTATCTCCTGAAGAGCATAAGGTCCCCATTAGTACATGTCTGCTGCTTAATTATTAAAACTTGAATGAGAGATTCCCAGCGCTAAACCCTTACGCCTCACTTTATCACTTCACTCATTATTCAATTGTTTTACCATTGGCATGTATGTTTATTTATAGCACCAATCCTCTAAAAAAAAAACAAGTAAAAGAGTAAAATTAAAATGAGCATCATTCTGATTCCACCCACTCTGAATAGAGTTGAAAATGTTTGTGTATGATACAAATATTTGAGGAGCACCTGTTGTTACTAAGCTAAAGAAGATCAACATCAAAAAAAAAGGGAAACACAATATACAGAGAGACACATTATGTTTCACAAGATCTTAAGAATACATTATTTAAACAGTCACGTTAATTCTCTTTAAAGGATTTGGAGGTCATTTTACTCCAGGAGGATTTAAGATCTGTGCAGAAAAATTCAGTTCTAATCTGTAGAAAACGACTGCTTGGCTTTGTTTAAGCGACTATGTTGAAATCAACCTCTAATTGGTAGAGTTTGTCTGTTCCTCAGCCAGCTTTAGGCCTTCGAAAAAGCCGTTTCTGTCTATAACTGGGTTGCAACCAACATGTGCCATTGATGCTCATTTGCACCAGTTTGGTGTAACTGGTTGATATTACACCTAACTATATGTTTTGTAAATGTATAAAAATATTTACATAATTCCATGTTATTTAACAAATGAGAATGCTATTCTCAATGTTGTGTTGGTTGTAATCAACTTATTCATATGAACCAGTTCCCATTGTTGGCGGTGTAACACCAAATGGAATTAAATATTCTCTACATGGGCTTGAGGTTTTGGATAGGAGTTGTTTCAGACTTCCGTACACATTTATTTTTTTTTATGTTCTTGTTTCTTGTTGTTACTGCATTAAACTATGGCAGGGATGGCAGTAGGTTTGAATGGGGTTGATAATAGATAATGGCTATTGATTAGGCTCTAAAAGTTAGTTGTTACAAATATATTTAACAATTTGTGAGTATTGAGTCTCTATAGAGTAAGCGAGTCTCTATACTATTTCTGTGGTGGTGTTGTGTTTTTTCTGCACTGATTTATTTTCTGCGAATGCAAAGCCACAGGAAAATGAGGAAGAGCTTCCCCTCTTCTTAATGCATTTTCAGTAATAAACATTACATTTTCTTTTCCACTGGGAATGGAGTTTCAAAATTGTCAATTGGTCTTTTTCTTTCCTGGGCTGGACTTGTGGAATAGACATTGAAGAAAGTGCTAGTGGTTATCTTTTCCCTGCTGATTGCTGTCCTGTCTCTGGTTATAGTGTAGCTGATAAGCGAGTCCGTCTCTTTTCCTGTCTGCTGTGCGCTTGCCTCTGTTCTGTGTGGATTAGCTGTGGAATTAGTCCCTTCCTGCTATTGTGCTGAATAAAAGTGTGTTTTCCGCTGACATGCAGTCAGTGAAAGCAGAGGATGTTGGGAGTTTAATAGATTTGTCTGCAAATGCTGTATATTGGGTAGAATCTCAACGCTGAATTGTATAATAGGATTCATAAACAAGAATGACACAAACCTCTCTATTCTAGTCCTGCCTTTCCGCTTTTCTTCTATTTGTTTATGTTTGGCCATGTGTATGTGTTATTGCTTGCTTGGCTGTTTGTAAAGTCATTTTCCTCTCTCTTCTTTTTTTAGGTGAGTGTGTACAGTAAGTGTTATATCTGCCAGGTTTCACCGTGGGGTGGTAAGTCTAATGGCAGCCTTTTTCCAGCCAACTGAACTCTGTACTTTAGCCACTATGTGGTTTAAACTTGCTAAATGGGTGTAATTAAATGAGCATTTTTCCTACACAATCATTTATTAATTAGCACCATTGCATTGGCACTGTTCGTTTATATGCTAATTGTGCCGTCATGGCACTCCCTACTGAGTACACTGTTGACCTTTAGATTTTGTTGTGATTCTTAATTGTGGAAATTAGCTCCACCCAAATTCTGAAGTATTTGGTAGTGTAGGAATACCTAGTATAGTAATATATTTAAGGATTCTTACAAAATTTTCAGATTTGAATGGCATTTAAATTTCCTCTTGTGTTAGTCGCCACAAAAAATATGCAAATTTTAAATGCAAAATAGAATTACATAAATGTGTTTATTCACATTAAGGCTTTTTGTTATTACAGCAAAATAACACATAAAATAAATCTTTTCACAGAATTTAAAATTCTCTGACATTGTGACTATGAAACCTATGAAATCATAAGTTAACCGTCATCGTCTCTATTGGAAGAATTCTCATCTTTTCCAGTATAACCGCACAAAAACAAAACAAACAAAGGCGTCATGTCCAGACATATGCGGTTAATGCACTCTTTTGAGGTTCATTTTACCAAAAATACAAAATCGAAACCATAATTTTCATAGATGATGAGGAACTTTTGATGATGAACTTTTGGGATGATTACAGAAAGCCAACACAAAATGGAGGTTAAAGTGAATTTTGTGTTTAAGTATCACATGTAATTATGAAAAGCTGCTTGTTTACCTATAAATCGGTTTATTGCTTTAACATCTTTAAAGACATCAACATACTGCACAAACAAATATGATTAATATTAACACCGAAGCACCGAAGCAACCCTGCAAACATGGCAAGCAGAGGTGTCTTTCTAATGTTTCTACATCTTGCTGGTTCAGTAGCCCTTAAAATGTTATATTTTGGCAGTCTACCATCATATCACTGTCTACTACTACAACACCACCAAATGAAATCATTGATAATTGCATTAAAATAATAATCACTGAGTCAGGTTGAAGACCTTTCTGGAATTTTTTTTTCCAGATTTTCATTGTATCCAAAATATGGGGTTGATAATTTTTCAAAGAAATCATCTTGTGTCTGGAACTGGGTTGATGTTCTGTGTGAACTTGAAGCGATTTACTTTTCAACAAGAATCCACATGTGTCATGTACTGATTTATGAATCAGTGCTGTCTGCATTTTTTATGTCTTTTCAAAGAGGATCACTCAGGAGGGAGTTATTTCCCATTTGCAAGATCTAAAACAAAACAGAGTTTAGGTGGGAGGTCATTAATATTTTAATCAGTACAGAAAATATTAAACATAAAGTCATTTTTGATTCATGAAAACAGCACGACAAAGGGAGACTTTGTAATAAGAAGACAAGAATGTTCATAAAGCAATATCAACTTTTCCCTTTTTTTCTCACTCAGTGCTTGAAGATCAGTTATAGTAATAGTCAATAATTCTTTCTTAAATTGGAGATGATTGCAAGTTCAGAAACCATGCACTCAACGAATTGTACAGGAAATAGAGATCTATTCCCTATTAACGTCTAATCATCTTTCATATATCATGGATGATATATGAGTGTGGTCAGCAACGACGAGCAAATGGCTAAATGAGTTAATAGGAAGCTGTCTAAAGCACCATCATCCATGGTTCATTTGTCATGATATCAAACTATTGCACAGAAGCCTAGCGGAAATAATTAAGCAGGGAGGGGAAAATGTGAACGATCTCTTTTGTTTGGAAATAGTGAGAGATAGAAGCCAGAGATATAAGAATGAACGATAACCATCCATTTAAACAGGTGTGTTTGCCTCTTGGATTAATTAACCTTTTGTTTGAAAGAAGAATTAATCTGTTTTAATCACCACATTGACCAAACCGTCAATTAATCTCATCTCCATATTCTCTCTGAGGAGAGGGAATTGTCTTGCTTTGATAATGCGAAATTGATTTTAAGCTTCATTGCTTAGCAAGTTGTAGTGGGTATGAAATGCCTTGCTGTTCACACTGCAGCAACCCTGTATGCAATTTGGTTCAGGACAGTCTGAACAGCACAAATTATTTCAAGGTCGCATTCATAAGTGGTCCTAGATCGGATGCGTATACAATTTTTTTTTTTATTGGACAGAGGCATTAAATTGAAATTGAGAATCAAGAACTGCAATGTAAACAAGGCCAAAGTCTCATTTATCCACAATATCTCCATCTTCAGCTAAAGGTTGTTCTGAAAGTAGCATCTGTTTCATTTAGGAACATTTTCTTTGTGTGAGTTGAGATTTTAGCCTACGATTTGTTTGTATGCCTAATCAGGTTAAAGCAAAAGCACAGCTGAAAGTCTCTCTCTCTCTCTCTCTCTCTCTCTCTCTCTCTCTCATCTGTCGTCATGGTTACTTAATCAAGGCAATCAGAATACAGAAACATGGAAAACTAGAGTCATGAGATTGATCTCACAACAACTTATCCACTCGTACTGTCTGAAGTAAACAAAATAGAGTCTGTAGGGAACAGCATTTTGCAACCCAATGATGTCCCAAATCTGTATTTCAAATAACATTTAAGCATTGTTTTCTATATAAAAGAATATCAAAAACAAATAACTATTCTATATTTGAGAATAAATATATGGTGGTGGTTGACAAATAACACATTTGATTGTGTGTCACATGGAGATCAAAAGATATTATTTTGAAAGAAATAAATTTAAATCTTGTTCATCTGACAAGATAAAGTAAATTGCTACTAAATTTCTATTTGTATTTTTGATCCAAACATAAGTGTGATAATTCATGTAAATTTTACTAGAACTCAAGGAACTTAGTATCAATAAGGTTCTCAAGTAATTTCTACCATCGTCAAGGTTTAAGAGACTTTATTGAAAATATTTAGAAAGATTTGAGGAGCCAAAAAAAGATTTTGGAAAGCAAATTACCAAATTTTCACACGGAAAAATCATGATTAAAATCAAGCCTTAGGACAATTTAAGATATCGGTGCAGAAGATTTATGTAAAAATGCATATTTTCAATACAACATCTAACAGAACTTTCCTGTGGCTCAGTTGGTAGAGTGTTGGACTAACAATACAAAGGTTGTGGGTTGAAATCCCAGGGAAAGCAAGAACTGACAAAAAAATGTTAATTCTTTCAAATGTAAGTTGCCATTTACCCAAAACTACACACAAATCATGGATGAAATTTGAAAAGAAAAAAAAAAACTTTTTTAAGCTTATTATCATCATTTTGCAGCTTATTATTTAAATTGGTTCACCTCAACACTAAAGCCAAGAACAAGTTTAGATTAAAGATTAAAACTGACCCTTCTCTTGTTTGATCTGTGTATTTTCATAATCCTGCAGTTTGATATAAAATGCTTGGAAAGCAGAGAGTAGCTAGATTATTTACCCTCCTGTTCTGGAGAGAATTTGAGGTTTTAATAAGTTAAGCAGGATTAGAAGAAAGAACATTCATTCCTCTTCCAGCAGTGAGAAAAACAGAACATTGAGGTCAGTCGTCTACATTCCTCTTCCATTCTGGAACATGCAAAAGCCTCTTAAGCAATGACACAGAGATTTCTGAAAACACTTTGAGAGAGGTCACTGAAGCAGTACTTTTATAGGTACTGTATTTTTCTCCTGATGTAAAATAATCAAAATATTGAAAAGGTGAATAAATGCTTCTTTTTTTTTGGTCAATGTAAAAGTATGAAATAATTGATCTTTTGTGTCATGCTCAAAAGCTACTGTGTTTTTCAACTACTTTAAAGGCCTTGTAGCCTGAGGGTCACATCTTTGAAACCGCTTAACCCAAGGACAAAATCAATGGCCATTCAAGAGAACATTAAGGAGTGATTTAGGTTTTACAGGCTCTTTTGTGTCTGACCGCGCTCTCTCAGTGTTCCAAGGGTTTACTTGTGTGGAAACCGCAAGATTTGTTTTTTTTTTTCTCCAGAAACCTATTGTGGCTATGCTCAATTCCTCACAACTTACCTCTAGGTTTTAATGGATGGCATAGTGTTTAAAGCTCCTCCAACGAACACTAGCATTCTACTCTTGTTTTATGGCCTACTTCACTTTTACTATTCTACGAAAATATTCTTATTTCACTATATTGGCCTGATCCCACCTTTAGGTGTAAAACACTCACCAAAGGGGTTTGGTTTCACTTTTAAGCGTGATGGGATTCAGCTGCAGTGTGCTTTAAGGCCTGGTTTCAGTTTCTTCTATTATATAAGCACTTCTTTCAAAGAACTCCACTTATGCATGGAGCAAAGAAGCGGGAGCTCAGGAGCAAAGTGAGATCGGTTTGAGCAGATTATCAGTGCAGGCAGTCGGTGTGTACAAGGAACATGACCCCTACACTGCAGTCTGTCGGGGCCAATGCTTTAGCACTCCTGTTTGTGCATGTAAATAGCAGTGGGAGTCACAAAGGTTTTGACAGTGGGAATAACACAAAGTACTGAAAGATAAAAATAGAGCTTGGATGTTCAGTGTGCTGTAAGGAACCAAAAGAACATTCAGTTTGCAGAGTAAAGCCAAATTATGCTAAGCTGCACACTGTTTATGACGCATAGCCCTACTACACACCTTTTAAAAATGGTAGCTATGTGTTGCGTAGAGGTGATTGGATGGCATGGTTGTAGTCCATTTCTGCAGCAGTCATCTGCATTATGAATATAGCAGCATTTTGAACCAAATCACTTTTGTATAGCGGTATTCGTACGGGACTAGTGTTTTTCTTTAACAACCTCTGTAAAAATTCCAAAGGAAAACACCTACTGTTTTTCAGCGCTCATCTTTGGCATGAAACAAGTTTCTTGTGTGTTTTGGGCAAAGTGAACTTATAGGTATTTTTACCATTGGCATGTATTTTTACACCTAAGACATTGGATGAGGATGAAGAAAAGTAAACAAAAAGCTAAATCGAAAAAAAAAGACCAGCTACATTGATATCAGTTTCTGCTGAGATTACTTTAATTTCAGTGGCTAATATGACGTACGTTAAAATGTATGTGTATTACCGAATGCAGTCCACGCAATCTGACGAAAGATTGAAAAGCAGTCACACCACAATGTTATGAAAGTCCGCTCTGTTCTTTGTAGCCTAGATTTTTTAGGGGAAAATTTAACCATCCTGAGCCACACAAAAATAAACTTGAACCAAACAAAAATGTTGAGCTTTGTTCACTGAATAGATAACTTTCAAAAATCATTAAAACCATTTGTGTAAATGGCGTAATTTCTGAGGAAATACATTTTTAAGTTCAGCTTTTTCCCATAGACTTTTATTGGGCAGAAATCCTTCTGCTGCCAGTAGCATGGGGTTGATCACCATGGTTTGGCTACACTTTGCCAGGCATTCGACACACACTTGGTCCTGTCCGAGTCAGCACGACAGAGTACAAAAGTTGTCAGATAGAGCGAATTAATGAGATCAGAAATAGTGTGGAGCTCTTTGCTTGTGTTTTGATTTTCCTGTTCTCTAAGTGCTATTACATAAGCTGCAGTTTCTGCTTTACCGTCAGTTAACTTTTACATTTCCCTAATGTTTTGTACATTGGGATATTTAGTTGACTGGGTTTGTATAGGAGGCATCCTTCCACAGTACCTCAATGGAAATCACTGAGTTCCTGAGAGCGGCCCATTTATTTTCGGGTAGGAGCTTGGTTTTTGCGTACAAGAGCTTGGTTTCGTACACCTGTGATCTTGGAAGTGATTGAAACATCTTAATTAAAGCATTTCGCCTGTATCGTTTCATCAAAATCCTACCCTCTCATCTCCGGTCAAACTCTAACGATATTAGTGTAGTCCGCGCTAGACAACACACTTAATAGGACTGCATTAATAAACTTTAATAAATTTGATTATTCGGACTGTAATTATAAGAGTCCAAAACGTTTTCTTTGTGCATTTATAATATATCTGTGTTGAACCAGTCGTAGTTGTAGCAAGTCATCTGGCTCTCCTTTCCTCTTCCAGAGATTCTCTGTTTTCTCATATCATATTATCACTTAAGTTCCATAAAGTTACGTTTATGCAGCTCCGTAATATATTAGAAGTGATCTATGGTTACCTTTATTACATTCCTTTTGAATTCCTGGAGGTCTTGATTTGATTCTTATTTTATCCAGTGGTAAAGCTGCTTGGGGTTGCTCATTGAATGAACCTCTTAAATAATAGATGTGCTTTTGTCTTCAGTGTCATGAGTTCAATTGTGTTAAACATTAGCCCTCGCTTCATGTGGTGTAGTGTCCTGAATCAGCACTTATTGAGTCGCTCGCTTCGGACTGAAATCTGCTACCACAAGCTACTGCCTGGTTACCATGAGCTATGAACAACCATTGGTAACATATTTATAGTAATATATTCAAATTCGAAGCTGGAATTGAAACTAAGTGTAAAGTGACTAACTGACATCAGCATTTGAACTCTTTATCAATCCCTAATTCCCTTTAATTAAAGCATTGTTTTGATCAGAGCCTGTTCATTGTGTTAGCAGCTCCGGAAAATCTAGGCCAAGCCATTTTCTGCATAGCTTGTTATAGAATAATTATTTTTTTCCATATTAAAAGCCTCTTAAAGCTCTAGTCTGCCACTCTGTAGTCCACATAATGGGCCTATTCCTCAATGAAAGCCATTGTGAAAATCAAATAATTTCTTGCAGATTAAAGAAGACACTGCTTTGAAAAAAAACGTGATTATTCAGAACTCATTAAAGTCAATTTAATAATAATTTTAGGTCTGCTTTCTGCTCTTTTTTTAATCACTAGATGTCTTTAGTTTGTTTTGTGTTGAATGACTACTAAACATTTACCGAAATGCGATGGCACATTTCCTTTCCTTCATTGTGATCAGTGAAGAAAAGGAAAAGCTTGTCCTCACCTTCACTCGTGTAACAGGTTACTTCCTCCTGTTTCAGATTTATGGACTGAAATATTTCGACAGATGGTTGTGTCCTCAAAAACCACCACCTGGATCCATGTTGATCATTCAGTGTGGGTTGATGATCAATTACTAGGTTGCCACACTAGTGTCTTTATGCCTTTATATATTCATAGCATCCTTATTTCACCTGATTTTCTCGTAAATTTGCTTGCTGTTGTGATTTAAGGCACCCCAATCATGCTGTGTGATTATTTGTTGAAGTTTCCTAGGATTTGGAAAGCTAAGCTGTGATTATCTGTGGTTATCGGTTTGAAAATTGGATTAGCAAGTGTGGTTTTTTCCATTTCTGGGGTTTTTTTATAACGATTTTGAGCCTGAAATCTTTCTACTCTATAAAGTTAGCATCAGCACAGGGGTTCTGCTGAAAGGGAACATGCTACTTATCAACACTGTTTGGAGAATCTGTGGAAAATGTGAAGTAAATTATAGGTTATTCGCTTAAATTGATGAACAGAGATTTTCTTTGCTGCCATGTTTCTGGTCACTGTTTTCGGAGATTGCCAAGAACTGGGCTTGGCAGGAAGACATATGCTCTGTAATCTTCACTGGAATTTCTTCATCATTTCTTTGTTTGAAGAAATCAGAAAACATACAACTCTAGAACAACAGTGTTTGCTTGCTTTTAGGGCAAAGCTACTTTCAATCATGGTATTCATAGATTTAAAAACAAAGTAGTTTGGATTTTAATTGAATTGATTGTTTTGGTTAAATGCTGGTTACATGTACAAAGGCTTCAATCTTTCTGCTGTTACCCTTTCCTCAGAGTATGAGTGAAATGAAAGTGAGTGGAGATGGAGTGGAAACATTTTTAAATTCCTCTACACATCTCATCAGAAGTATGACATGGTTTTAAATCCCTAGTTTCCATGGATACTGTGGATGGGGATTGGTGAAAGAACTAGTTCACCCAAAACTAAAAGTGTTTTTATATTTGTTTGTTTTTTTTTGTTTTTGGTTGCAAAGAAAATTTCAACTGGTCTAAAATGCCTCTTTCTTTGATCATTCTCTCCAGTGTTGCTTGTGTTGATCAAGATTCAATTCCTTTGTTCCCATTTCTTAAATTCTGTCATACGTATTTTCTGTGACTGCTTTGGGTGCTGTCTCCAGCTACTTTAAAGCATGCACAGGAAACACGACCTGAACTTCTAAATATAATAATGTAGGCGTTTGTGTGGG